TCCCATCCCTTGAGCTTGTACTTGATAACAAGCCGACGCCATTCGTCTTCATGATGAGTTTTGAAGTGCCGGCGAATGGTTCCTGTGGTACCACTATGCCCGTTCTTCCATGTTTGCCAAACACTGTCTTTAGGGTCGGTATTATAGCTGTTGAAGGCTGAGATGGCAAAAAGAAAAGTAATTGGTACCACGCACCACATGCGACATCGTCAATGAGACCACAGCTTTGTATCTGGGGCTGCTTGCGTTGGCTCTGGGTGAATAGCCGGTGGAATGATTGTTGGCGCTGTCGCAGTGTTGACGCCATCGACACAAAACCAGACATTTGTTGCAGCGGCTCCTGATCGTGAGGTGTGCTCATTCTCCACGAGCGAACCAAATTGTGTCGAAAACCCAACAGGAAGAGCCGACGGAGGTATGTTGATTGGCCCCACAGCAACAACACTTGGCTCGCCATGAGCTGCCAAAGGCGATGGAGTCAAAGGTCCGGAAGGATTGCAACTCGGAGGACCAGTAGTACGTTGACGCTTCTTTGGACGTCCACCGCTAGATGGTTTACTTTTTCGAGTTTCAACCACTGGTGCAGGACTATAGCCTTCAACCTGGAACGTGTATTGACTGGGTGTAGTATTCGTCAGGTTGGAAAGAGGGTGTTGAGGCACTTCCGATGTGCCAGGAGATATGAACACAGTAGCTGGAAGTGCTTCCGCAGCTCAAACCACGCCAGACTCGAGGCAAGTGCCAAATGGCGCTTCTGTGCCCATCAGTCTTAAGAAAGCAGGCCGCATCCACAATTTACTGTGTCGCCCCACAGCATCTGGACTGCCGTTGCACGGGCGTGAACGTGCACTGTCGAGGTTTTCACGCAGTTTGGCGTAGAGCGTAAGCAACCTGACACAGTCAGCAAAGCTCTCCATGTCGTAGTCCTGTATTGAGAGTATGTAACCTATGTCAGTAGTCAGAGAGACATCTTGGCCCGAGTACACACTCACCGAGCCCGGTAAAGTAGTCCGCCATAGAGAAGTTGTTGGGGTCATGAAACTTGACGCGAATGGCTCCAACAAGTCATGCTTGCGCACTTTGAACTGAGCTTCCTCCGGCTCTATGAGTAGTTGTGAGCGGAATCCAAGTTGATTCATGGGCTTACATCATAATGCATGGTCAGACATGGTCGAAAGCAAGCGAAGTCTGCGCAGCCACCGTATACATGTCAGTTCCTGTTCCAGTCAATAATCGCCGACAGACTTTAGGTTTGCAAACTCGAGATGACCTTGAAAACAGTTGTTATTTCAATGAACGCAGCCCAATGTCAGGGTCACAGAAGCACGGTACACAGTGAGCGATCAAGAACCCTGCGCAAATAATTCTCCACGAGTGTCAATTCCTCCTCCGCATGAGCCAATCGAGCGCGCAATGCAGCAGCCTCCACTCGAAGGCTTTCCCCTTCGTTTTGGGCTTCATCTCGCATCTTGATCAAATGATTATTCCAGGCTCGGAATTCCTACTCATCGTTGGACAACATTTTGGGGCGAAAGACTTGATCTCACCGTAATCTGCATGTCTTTCAACTGAAGGGAGAGCTGAGATTTTTGAAGATTGAACCCAAGGCGTGAAACCTCGGACTGGAGCTGATTTTCAGTTCGAACAGCTAATTGGAGGCGATTGTTCATCTCGTCCTTGTCCTGAGCGAGAGTCGCATTCACAATCACCAGCTGTTGGATTTGGGTCTTCAACGCGATGAGCAGTGGCTTTTCCCCCTTGTCCTCTCCTTGGAATCGGTCGTCTGTCGCTTCATGAAGTCCAGTTAAGGCTAAAAGACAATCTAAATAGCGTTCAAATTTGAATTGCGGTGAGTCGGAAATACTAGCCTTTGGTGGGATTCTTGGACTCTTCGCTCATGGCTATGGTGGATGTTAATGGTTATGATGTTAATGAGTAAGACTGGATCAAGATCATCTAGGACGAAAAAACTTCAGACTGGACGTCGACATGATCTCGCTCCGGTTATTTAACAGGATAGTCGTACTACGACTATCCTGTTTCTTGAACACCTAACACTCATGTCTTCTCCTGACGCTTTCGACCCCGCCGTCTTCCGAGGCTTCTCGAAGGCTCAAATCATTCAGTCTGCCCAAACACTGAGTCCAGGAAGTCCCCAAGACCTTAGCTTGTTTACCTCGGCAACAGACGGTTCAACTAATGCTGCCACATCGCCACTGGGACCATTGCGGTTGTCAGTGCACCAACTTAAAACTTGGTATCCTATTCACGAACATTCCATTCTACCAGGACTGCTCTGGACGATAACCCTTTCAAGCGGGCCAATAGCAATAGCCCCATAGGTGCTTTTTCGCACAACAGGAGCCTTATTGCCCGAACACCAAGACCTGGTACACCAGCACCGAGCACTAGTCGAATAAGTCGCTGGTGCTTGCCCACTTCCGCTACCACTGCCTTTGCCTGTTCCCGTCCCAGAACCGTTCTCGTTGCTGTCAGAAGGCTCCTCCTCAGTCGTGTTATCCAAGATGCATCGAATCAGGAGCTGCAGGTGTCTCCAGACGAGCTTGACTGTGGTCCACCAACAAGTCCCAGTCCGGGTCGCCTTCGAATTTCGCGAGCCCGAGCAAGCGAAGACACTGTTACAGTGCGGGAAACAGGTGACCCAGTCGAGCCTGACAATACAGAGGCTGAGCCGTAACTGTAGCTCGAATACGAGTACGAGTCCGAATAATCGCTTTGCGAGTCGCCAAGCATGCTTGCGCTATCTGGACCACGATAGCTCAACGACCTCGGCACGACACTGAACGACCCACTACCACCAGACTGGGAGGGACTTCGGGTGAGCGAAAAGGTGTTGGTGCCGTTAACAGTGCGAACACTGACAGAGTTGGAGCAAAGAGTGCTCCTCCCCCGTTGTGCCTGTTGTCCGACTCGCGCTCCGACTTTCACTATTGCTGCTGGTGGTTGTTGCGTTGCTCCTCTGACTCCGACTGTCCGCTGACAAGAATACATCGTCCGAGCTGCCCGATGCAGCACTTGAGCGATTATATGCCTCGTCAAGCTGGCCCATAGACCAACGACGAGCACCAAGTCCCCTTCTTCGTCCCGCAATAGCACGAGGGTCGCCACGATACACATATTCCTCTCCAGTAATGACACTGTCGTCAACAGTACCAGCATGGTGCGAGGAGATAAGAGAAGATTTTCGGCGGATGTTTCGGTATCTGAACCCGCAAACGAATCGTCCAGAATTGGTGGACGATGGACGGCTTCCCTATAAAACGAATTAGAAAAAGGAGCAAGTAACAAGCTAAATGACACACCAAAGACGTTCGACTCATTTCTGCCTCTCGAGCATGCTTTCAGTAGCGAGCCGTTCAACACCATCTTCGTATACCATTTGAAACGGGACCAGCAGGTCGACAAGTGTGTCGCGCCTGGTTCACCTCTATAGCACCAGTCAGACATATCAATGTCAATAAGGCAAAAAAACATACCACTTTGAAGTCGGGCAGCGACAGTTCCAACATCATCTCCTGCGCTCGGGTTGGGCAGGGCATACTTTGCAGTTGATCCAACCCAACAATACCACGTCCGCCTCCAGGTTGCAATGCATAAAAGGAGTAGAAGACGCGGGTAGAGTAAAGCTTGGCATCGTTGTCAGCGATAAGGTGGCGAAGCATAAACATTGTGGAACCAGAGCTGCGAAGCCTGAAAAGGAGGAAATAATGAGTACGTGTGCTTATGTAAATCACCGATTCTGGGTTTTGAGCATAGGCTTTCGATTTAGCTACCCTTAGGCTAGGGGTGCCGCTGGCTGCACTTCCACGTCTTCTACTTCGGAAACTAGGCGAGCGACCACTTCGCAGACTGGTAGCATCGTCCGCCAAACGACGGATCGCGAATAAGTCTTCTGACGAAGGTTGGTCGCGTTCGCTAGGCAATGGAGGAAGAGGGTGGTCGTTGCTGCTTTTCGAAGACGCCCTGTCGCTCGAAGACGAGGGCGACTTTCCGGATGCACGCGCTGGGGTCCGTTCCTTCCATAACGCCACTATATTCCGCACGGAATAGGGAACTGCCCTGTGGCGGGATGGAAGGGGAGTTGTTGTAGTACGTGATTGTGTGTCGGTGTTGCAACATGATAGTTCAGCATATTTGCGACTAGGGCATTTGTTGGTCGTTGTGGACGGACTTCGTAAAGTCTACAAGCGTTGGATGAAATGTGGATCTTCTGCGGCTCAGGCTCCGGAGCACGCAATTCCAATAATCTTGGATCAGCCTCTAGATAGACATGATGGGCAGGGGTCGGATGGCTCTGCGAATTCATGGTGGGGGGAGCACCATCGTTGAACTTGGCCGGAACACAACGACGACGGCTTGGAAGGCCACTCTGGCGATGCGTCGAGATCTCGACCATCACCTGGCGAAGGATTAGTCGAGTTGTGCTCAAATTGTCTTGACTAACTGGGAGTTCAACTTGTTCTGGAGGCAATGCAGGAGCTTGAGCAGCATTCCGAAGATGTTGGTGGATATTTGCTACCGATTGAATATGCAGCAGCAGCTTGAAGCCTGAACATGCTCAGTCATGAATGAGTTTTTGTGTCACCCAGATTGCGGTGGTTTATGGTAACGTTCGCGATTTGGGCCTAGTTCTTCAGCTGGGCCAAGAAGACAGTAGTGGGTGAATATGTACCTCTTTCTCACAAGTTAGACGTTTCCCCTTGGAAAGATTGCGCACCGAAGAACTCAGATGACGACACGCAACAGACGGAGAATTATAGTGAGAAATAATGAGCCATTTGTACAGTGGCCACTGGTTATGAGCGAGCCGCTCCGAAACCAGTGACCACTGCGTTGAATCAGCGCAAGCCAGATGAAGTTTGAGTTGGGGGGGAATTTGTCACAGTGTGACCGAAGGTGACATGGCATTGTATATATAGGTACACAACTTAGGCTAGTGCGACGAAACAACAGAGCATCTGAGGACTATAAGAAAGTATCTACGTGCCGATCGGTTTATGGAATGTTTCTTGCCATTCAGACCACGTGGGATGCTGGCGGTGAAGTTTGGCGAGTAACTGCGCCAATGCGAAGCATTCTACCCTCGACAGTCCTGGACCAGTAAGATGCGCAGTCAGCTCCTGAATATTTTGCTCGAATGGTACGTGAAACAAGCTGAGAATGCGAATATGGGTCGTCGTAAAATCTTGGCCGATCAAAGAATAGAGATCAATTGGCGTCCGTATGTCGCAGCCTTGGAATACTGCCAAGTGGGAAGACAGATCTGGACAAATTCCTGCCAAAAGTCCAGCCAGAGATGACGGGTTCTTCGGAGTATGATGCTTCCGATCGATATTCAACCGTGCTCGAAGACTTTGTCCGAGAGCCACACATTGGGCTTTCGTCATCCGAGGACCTTCGAACCGAGGCAGCAACTCGTCCATTTCATGTTTGGGAGGGGCCCAAAAAAGACCTTCGATTCGAATTTGCGTGTCGATCAATGTTTCAGCGACCAGGCTAGAGAGATCGAGCATTTGATGAATTCCGTGATGATTAAGCAGTCGGAGGTGAGAGGAAAGTGGGGGTTGGATGGTTGCAAGAAAGCTCTCGAGACTTGGCTCTGACATGTTGGTATTGGATACCATGCAACCGTGTGCCGGAATCAAAGCTGACGAATTGGCTGTGGATTCCACATCGCCGGATTGTTGTGGAGTTATCGCACTACCCTTAGCGATGTCAACTACCTGCGAGGGCATGCTATCAAGAGCTGACTGTGATGGCGCGGAACTGGGAGCTATGCAGGTGTTTGCTGCAATCGAAGTTGACGGTTTAGCCGTGGATTCCAGACGACCGGATGACGGATGAGTTATTGTGCCCATGTAGGTAGCGACCACCTGCGAAGGCGTCTCGAGAGTTGACCACGACGGAGCGAAATAGGAATTAGGAGCCATGGAAGCATTGTTGACGGTGTTGTTGACGGTGTTGTTGACGGTAGAAATACATGGTTCAGCAGCGAGAACATCCGATTCACGAATTGTGTTAGTTTGACTGAGGTTGGATTCCAAGCATCTAAGGTTGTTGATATCAGTAGTCCTCTTGGGCGGTACCTCAAGACGTACATATTGTCTTCTTCGGAGCAGGTGTAGGTTCATCTGTTTGCAAGGGGCGCTTTTGCGACACCCTCGCCATCGTTTCATTGGTTTCGTCTCGATGGAAGGAGTTTCCGCTTGCGACAGATGTAAGCGCCCTGCGGTAGCTCGTGTTGCGTTTTTCACTATCGGGCAAGTTGGTCTGGATGACCTGATCTTCGAGCTGAGACTCGGGTAACTGGCTCTGTATAATTTGGTCGTCGTTTGGGGGCCAAGTCTGCCCTAAATTGGCCTTCGAACTCAGATTTCGGTGACAGGCTAGCACGAAGTCCATACTGATGTTCGAACTGGGACTCGGGTAACTGGCTCTGCGTAATTCGGCCGTGGTTTGGGGAGTCGATGTCTACCATGGGTTGGTCGTCGGACCCAGATTTCGGTGACGGGCTAGCGCGAGGTCCATACCGATCTTCGAACTGGAACTCGGGTGACTGGCTCTGTGTAATTCGGCCGTGGTTTGGGGAGTCAATGTCTGGCATGGGTTGGTCTTCCGTGTCCGAGTCAGGCTCAGATTCCGGTGATGTGCTAGTAGGAGGTCCATATGCCTGTTCGAGTCGTGACTGGCGTAGTTGGTAATGTGAGGTTTAGTGATAAATTATCGCAATACCACGTACGATGATTTCATGATAGCGCTGTCGATTATCGCGCAAAATTTCAGGGTCTTCGTTTAGGTCGTCAATCGGTTGTCTTTGTTCTGGGGCTGCGCTCAAGTCATGACAATTAAGAAAAGCCCTGCGTATTGTGTTGGAATGACAACCAAGAATAGCCGCAAGTTGATGCTCATTGTAATGCTCCTTCAGCGCACGACATATGACGCGAGCGCAATGGGCTCGAGCGCGTTTAACGCTGAATAAGTGAGTACTATGGACAGTGACAATCTGGAGAGCGTACCTTTCCCCGGTACTCGTCCTTTTGTTTGGCGAGCGAGCAGATGCCGAACGATTAGCGGCCTTGGCGGGATGGGGAGGTGAGCTTGCGACAACTCAGAGTTTTGGATTGCACCTTCTTTGGGGGGGACATGGCGGCTCTGTGGAAGATATTTGGAGCCGTAAGAGGACATTTATGAGGAATCCAGCCGCAGTCCGTGGCTGTGAGTTGAATGGCGAGTTAAGCTTCGACGGGTAAACTTTAACTCGAAATCGCCAACTGAAGGAGATAGACGAAGTCGGTAGGCTTGGTTTTCCCGTTGCTAACGGCCTCCTCTTCCTCGCCAGACTCAAGCTCCTCGACCACTGGCTCGTCTTCGCCTGCATCCTTCGCCTTTTTTATCTTGAGGAACGCTCGGAAGTTGTGTTTACGAAGATCCGCGACGATGAGGGGCTTTTTGCCATTTGAAAGCAAGAAGGTTGCGCAGCAAAATTGTATTACTGCACGTGAAGCCGAAGCCTGAGGTTAATTGGACAACAGCCTAGTAGAGACTCCAAGCTGAACCGGTGGAGAATCCATATGGTATGGTTGGGAGTGAGAGAGCTGGTGAACGTAGCGGCGCAGGGCGGCGCGGAAGAGAAGTGTCACGAATCAGCAGAAACGTTGATTTTCATCAGTCGTCAACACTTTCCTGGGCCAAAGAGGAGGAGCAATAACTACAATATTAAATAATAACGGGAGAAATGTATGTATGATACATGTATAGAACAAATCTATCTCATCTCTGCTGTCGTCATCGTCATGGCTGTAGCTACTTATCTTCAACTTCGCCCTCCAAAACAACTTCGAGGATTCCTTTGAGTTTCGTGCGCTCCTTCAACAACAACGCGTAGACCTCAATGGTGACGTCTGCCAATAACTTAGCTCATGGAGATGTATGGGGCAATCATACCAAGGTTGAGCACGGCTCGGACAGATCCATCTTGTCCTCGATGGAAAATGATTGAATTGACAAGGTCGTTCAGCGTGTTTTCGACCGTTTCGGACAGATGGTCGGACAAGTGTTGATGGCTGACATTGCGGAGGCTATAGTCAGCGCCTTCATCGGGGCGATGTAAACGATTTTGAAGGCATCAAGGTCGAATTTTCCTGTCTCCTCGTCGCGGTGTTTGCCGAGCTCGTTGAGGATAGCGACATTCGTCTAGGAAGGACATCAGGAACAATATATATTATTACAGAAAACAAACCTTTCCAGCACCAGCCTGGGCACAAAGTAAGATCGGCTCGTCCGTTCCAAATGCAATGGGATAGAGTTTGCTTTGGACGGGATGGAGGCGTGGAACAGTGAAGGTGGGTTGCCCAAGTAGGCATGCTCGCAATGGGTACGAAATCCATGTCTGGAATGGCTTTCTTTTTGGGAGCGGGTACGTGAATTTCATCGTAACCCTTCCTGGTGCGTTTGAAAGAGCATTCTGGGAGCTTGCATTTCTTGTTGGACCTAAGATGACCGCCCTGGCTGAATATCATACTCTCCACGGTCCGTTTTGGTTGCAGGGAGCTAGAGTATGTCGTGTTTCTGTTCATCAACATCCATAACATCATACGGCTTGGATTTGCCAGCCTGACGATTCCCCAAAGCTCGCGAAGAATCCAACCCACGCCCCTTTCCCTCATCGCAACCTCCACGTTAACTCGCTCATCAGCATCACTTTGCATTTGTGCACCCGACGATGAGATCGCGACCTTTGAGGAATCTGGCTTTGATATGGAAACTTTGATATTCGAGGAGTTCATTCTCGCAGTCACGCAAACTCGGCTCGGAGCCAAGAATCGAGAGAACACTGAGGTTGTTTACTCGGCAGCGGTGACTAGGTCAGGGTAAATTTCTGAAACTTGACGTTGAACCCAGAATGCGTCGATGGCGTGAGGGGAAACGATGTCTTTGTCGGACTTGACCTTTGCGCTCTGGGCAGACTCGCCTCCAATAACAAACTCGCCCGAATCCTCCTCTGCTTGTTCTACAGGGCCATCGTCTGCTTCCTTTTCTCGTCGTCTGAGTCATCTCCAATGTCAAACCGTTCTGCCTCGTCATCGTCCTGCTCCTCCTCATCGAACACAACCGCAATTCCAACCTCATCATCCAGGCCCATATTTTGACGTCGAGATCCTTGAGGTGTCATCTTCGGCGCTGTAGTCGGTGATTTTTCTTCGAAGGACTGACAAGCTGCGAGAATTGCTCGTTGTTTACGCGGGCTGAAAGGATTTCTTTTAACTCGGTTTTCTTGTTGAAGTCTTCTCGTTTTTGAGCGTCTCGAGTACCAGGTCGGCAGCACTCCGAACGACGTCTTCCGAGGGAAGTATGGACAGATGACAGAATGAGCTCGTAGACTTCGCGCGTCTCGACTTTCCTGGGTCGATAAGTAAGGCCCGCTCCTTGTTCTTCGTCGTCTCAGTCATTTCCGATGTCAAACCGTTCTTCCTCGTCATCCTCCGACTATCCGCTGTGATTTGGCACGGTTGGATGGATTGACTGGGAGGGGCAACTCAGTTCCCCGTTTGATGGTCGTTGAATGAGGAGGAGTTGGTGGCGACTTCAGCTCTGTATAGAGATCATCGGGATGGAAGGGTATTCGTTCTGCACAAGAAACAGTTTTCCGATGTGTTGATGCGTGAAGCGGCGGACGTGATGGAAGCAACAGACTATATCTAGGGCAGCCAGCGCCCATTTGCCTGATACAAGCGCAGGAGCGTCATTAATGGAGGAGGGTCGAAAGAGTTCAAGCGGAGGAGTGTGGTATGAATATTGTGTCTACATTCGCCACCGACTTGGAGGATGATCAGCATTTTTCGCGGAGCTTAGCCCTATGACGAACCTTTTTCTAGTCCGTTTGGCATCTTGGTCTCCTCCTTGCGGTATTTCCGGCCTCGAGATCCCCAGTTTTGATGCTCATCTGCACTGTCAATGGTGCACCAAACGACGCGAGGCACTCTTGAGCCATTTTTGGCCATCTCGCAAGAACCATGGCGCCGGCTTCCTGCAACGATATTACTTCAGCTTGGTTTCGGCGTCGAGAAACGAGAAACAACTGACGAATTTGCCAGGATTTGTTTTTGAAGTTCTTGTCCGAAACCTCTATGTTCTTCTTGTAGTCCTTGACTCCTCTGTCGACTGCTTCGAGTTGGCATCGAAAGTGCTTGCGGGCGGCAGCTGTTGTTAGAGGCATGACATGTCAGTTTCGATTCCTGCATGGCCGTTTTGAACTCCAGGCCTGTAGGAAAGAACTTCAACTCGTCCACTAGAAAGCGTCAAAACGCTTGTGAAGGCCTCAGACGGAGAGGACCATCTTTAAGTTCGGTACTGTTTAATAATTACTAGTATTAGTTGGAGTCTAACTTGCTAGTAAATGGACGACAGAACAGCATACCCTCGGTGCGCAATAGCCTGAGTACGTGTATGGCCATGGCAGTTGGAAAGAGACTGTTGCCACTGGGAGTTGGAGTTGAATGGCTTCGAGACAGATGGAGTTGTGAAGCAGCCAACTAGTACTAGTATGTCACACAATCGTGCCACCAAGCCTCACTGAGTCCAGTTACTGGAAAGACTTCCGAGTCAAGTTCAGCATTGCATTGGTGTAGAGTATTGGTAAGCGGGTATAGAACGTGGCATGGAATACAAAAAGGCACCCTTAGGCTTCTTCAGGAACGGTACTATCCTCTTCAACAATCTCAACCGCAGAGAAAGCAGCATTCATGGCACGAACCGCGGTCCGCGAGGAACCGAGGAGACTATCGGCCTGCAATCTCACCGTCGTCAAGGTCTCTTCAGCTCGAATGAGAAGTTGGTGATCAAAGGCCTGCTCGCGGGATCCGGAGAGCCTGAGTGTGGTCATTTGGGTTTCAAGCTCGACGATTTTCTTGAGGGATGATTCGCGGCTATGAGTGATTTCGATGATAGTCGCCCTGAGATTGACGATCATGATCTTGTTGTTCGTCAGTGAACTAGTTATAGCCGCCATGCTCCCTGTTGAGAATTCGCCTGCGAAGGTGGAATTTGAGCCGTTGTGCAAAATCCTATAGCTTGTAGGAACGCGAGCAAGTTGAGCAGCAAGGATGGTACTTACCTTCAGAGCAGGATCCTCTTCCGAGTCACGCGATTCGATATCCTGTACATAAATAGTGGGTATTTGTAATGCTTCATAACGAAAAAAATGCACCATGCGATCTACGGGTGGGCCATCATTTCGGGGGAGCAGAGGTAGCACCTCTTTGTAGAGCGAAACAACGATCGAAGAAGGTTAGAGGTAGTGAGTTGGCTTTGTTGCTTTTGCGGCGAGTGCAAAGAATATTGGGGAAATGTGGGGCAAGGATAGGCTCATTGCACGATTGATGAATCGCTACTGAGCTGAAAGCCATCTTAAACAAGCGTATGGTGGCGCTGGCGGCAGTTTCGTTATATTCACCAAACAATGGCCAATAGTCTACCAAGAACGAAGAATGGCAGTCAGTAAAGTCGGCGAGTATGATTCTTTGGTCAGAAACGCTTGACAAAGATTCAGTGTTTTGAAGAGATTACGGGAGTCAAAGTTCTGTCAGAGATAAGTCACATGACCGGGGCTGAATTACCTTGGATCACTTTCTCTGGGTTTCCGTTAGATAGGCGGCCCTACCTGGCGGACAAGACTTTCCCGCACAGGTTGCGTCGTATATCTCCTCTGTCTAATTGCTCTTCGCTCGTTCGAGTGCTCTGTAAGTGACGTCCAACACAACCAGGAGGGCTTCTAGGCGATCCAAAAATGCATCCAGCAAATAAAGCAAGATTTTGGTGGCGGGTACCCTGTCCTGAGTGACAAGAACATCAACTAGACTGATAAGAGTTCTCCCAGACATTGGGGAAATGCTAAGTGGAATTGCCGTATCGTGCATGAGACGAGAATACAGAAGGGCGACATGGGTCAGTTGCGGAAGTGTGAGCTCAGTTCGAGATTGAATAGATGGGCTAGGGTGCTGCAGGTACTTGGGAGACCTGGCGAAAGTGAATTAATGACCCGATGTTAGATTCGGGATAGCTTGCCTGAATATTTCTTGTCCTCTCAGTCCCCCCCCCACCTATCGAAACACTACAATTTGTTGAAACGGGGAAGATCTGCCCGCCAATCCGCGCGACGAATACTATCGAAAAGTCCTCCAACAACTTAACGAGGATAGGAAGAAATGGTCGAAGAACTGACCTTTCGCGTAGCCTACAATTCGTTTGTGCCCGCATCAATACACACATGCCTTCGATTGGGTCTACGATTGGGCGGCCGTTCGTCGCAGCCAAGAGAGTTGTCAAGAATTCACCCAAACATTGGGAAAATGCTGATTGAGATTGCCGGATTGTGTAGACAAGAGTGATCTCTTGACCTAACTTGTGGCGTGATTATTGAAGCCCCACAAGATTCGCGCAATACTTGGCTGTGATGAGCGTGAAACAACTAGAATCAGTGAACGACATACTTGATGAAAATGCTAAGGTACATCCCCGAAACTTGAGTGCTGCCATGGTGCCAGGTAGTCGCGCTTCTCCATAAACCGGTAAGGATTGAATGTGTGGGGCCAGGGAAATCAGCTGGGCTTAATTGTATTCCCTAAAGATTGGTGATGATTGCGCTGCCTTTGGAATGCATATTGCTTGATAGACAGCCTTCAGTGCTTGCATGAGAAGTGCCGCCACAGGTCTCCAGCGAAGTCTCTCGTTCAGGATAGCACATATAAGCGGAGCGAGTCATCATAGTCGGGAAAAGAGGCAAGTCGGTCAAAACCAACGACAATGTCCAATTCGGCTTGCGCGAGGGATGAAAGTTGGTCCAACAGATCTTAGAGTTGATCTCTTTCACCAAACAGATGAAGTATTCGATATCTTAAGGGCGTTGTTGGAGAGCAGCAGGGCACCAAGGCGCGAGGAAATTGGGGAGGTCTAAGAAGCGCAGATGCTTTCGGCCAAATGTTTACCCGGTATACTGGAAGACATCAGAATCTGAGCAATATCGACAATGAGTCTGACTTTATGAGAATTGGGCGTCCAAAGGGAGGAGAAAGACTTGCTGAGGAACTGTTAAAAACAAAAAACGTGTTAAATCAAATTGATTGACGCTATGGATGAGCGCTGAGCTGCTCGCAAAATAAGCAAAGCTCTGCTGTGGTCGAGCAATAAACCCGCGACAAGTTGATGAACAGGGAAACCCGCTGTTCGACGACCGACGGTCCAGAGACGGCGTTGATGGCAACTTAGGGTCACATATCATATCATCGCATCGCGTGACATCCTGATCACGTCTTCTGGGAAAGTCTCCAGTGGTTGTCGTTGGACGAACCAAGAACGAACCCACATTTGGTTCGTCACGGTTGCGCAGTAAGTCCTCGTCCTCCAGCCCCGACACCCAAGTCTCCCACAAGTAGTAAGAGGTGTTATTGAGAACTGCCGTTGCTAATTCTGGCCTAGACGTTCTCGCAACATCTCAGTCTACTGCTACATCGTCTACTGATATCTTGGCCAGCATCTCGCAATGCGACGAACGGCGGGTTTCCCTGTTCACCCCCACCAAGGCCAATACTTCGTGCGTGGCTTAATTCTCCACTTTTAAATATCTAATGCGCGCTCTCAAATCCAGGGGCCTCACGTTGAACAAACATTCAATGTGTTTTCTGTACTAATGAATTAATGGAGTCCATATCGACTGGCCATACTCTCGCGCTTTTAACACCCAATTCTTCACCACGGGTCTCTTTGCTAAAGTCCACAGTGCGACCCTCCAGCGGTTGTCGTTGGACGAACCAAGAGCGAACCCACGTTTGGTTCGTCACGGTTACGCAGCAAGTCTTCGTCCTCCAACCCTGACACCCAATTCTCCTACAAGTAAGAGTTAACCATGAGAATATCCGTCGTCGCTAATTCTGGCCTAGAATTTCATGCAAGCTCATAACGCCTCAGTTTACCGCCACGTTGGCTGCTACAGACGGCTCCAAATGCTGCTTCAAATCTTTGGCGCGCCGTCCAGCACGTTTCACTGTTCATCTCCACCAAGGACAACACTTCGTGCGTGTTTTATGCCTACACTTTGAAAGATCTAATGTGTGCTCTCAAATCTAGCGGGCCTCGCATTGCGTGGATCACAATATGTTCTAAACTAAAGGAGTCCATAACGGCTGCTCGCACTTTCAATTCCCAAGCTCTTAGTCTGCTGCTATCTCAGCTACCAGCACTCCCAATGTGGCGAGCAGCGGGTTTCCCTGCTCACCTCCACGAAGTCGGGGTTGTGTTGCTGCCCAATCCGGTCATCGTGGACGCCGACGAGCCCAGTGACTGGTTTATGGCAGATTATGCAGTGGATCGACGACATCTGAGTTCGCATACTTGGACTGTCCCCTCAGACTTTCCTCGTTGATTTACCAACTGGACGACGCGTTTTCGGAAAGGCCATCACTTCAGAGCAACATTATCAGCATGCCATCAAGGCATCGGAACTCTTCGAAGAGCGGAAGTTTTCGAAGAGCGGAACTCGTTATGGTCTATATAAACAGGCAGACCGAGCGCCTACGTTATAGAACTTATCGTCCCAACTGAATCGCCCACTTCAAACATGACGCCCAGCGTCACTTCACCTCCCACACCCGCAACAAACGAAGCTTTGACAATGATCGACATCCTTGGGGTCATCTTCGAAGCCTGTCTTGCCTTGAACTTTTCTGTCGAATGGCACAACGACGTTCGGCAAAAGATGGCTCTTGGGGCGGTGTGCAGGTGTTGGAAATTCACCTTGGAGTCACTTCCCGCCTTGTGGTCGCACATAATTCTGGTCCCGCGAATGCCTCAGTATTACATCGACAAGGTTTTTCGACTTGCCAAGCAAGCTCCAAACGTTTGAGCATCGACCTTGACCTGGACTCAAAATTGGATACCATGTTTTTGTCTTCGATTGCCGCTCTGCTGGTTGCCAAAGCGGAGACAGTCACTCATATCTCCGTTCAATATATTTCCTATTCCGCCTGGAACACATTTGTCGACCATTTATCAGCGGCCAGTCCTCAACCCCGCTTTCTCTCGCTCAGATCCTTCTATGCGACTTCTCCTACCGCCCTGCACAACCAACTCGAAGATGCCGTCCCACATTCGTTTCCAGATCTCGCAGCAAACCTCCAAGTCCTTTATCTTGACGGATTGCCTCCGTCGTCGTTTGTCGTTGGTCCCAACCTGATATCGTTGGCCTTAACAAACCTTGACTTGGCCCAGGACGATACGGCATCTTTCACTTTCACGACGACATTGCTGAACTCTCTTCGCCAAACTCCCCATCTCGAAACGCTTTTCATTGATGTGGATGAGTCCATCACATACCAGCCTGCGCCCCACCAACCAGTCGTTCTGCCTTGCCTCCACACCCTATCCTTTCTTTGTAATACGCCCTTTCCACATTGCTGCGGTTTCTTGCTTTCCCCAATCCACCTTCCCAAGCTACACAGTCTCTCATTGCATCTGGCCAGTGTGCACAATACCAACAGCTTCATCTCGGTCAACGGGACCCACCTTTCGACCATTGTTGTGCTGCGTCTCATCGGCGATATTTCGGTCTATATTGAGCCAGCTGATGGTCCAGCAAAGCTCTTGTCCTCGTTGACAGGGAGCAGGCTTCGTCATTTGAACTTTCTTGATGTCGACGGGCTATTTCCGTTCGATAGCGAACACAACGCCTTCATCCAAACGCAATTCCTTGAAATTCTCGCCCATGCACTTTCTCTTCCGAATGTTCGCCTTGTGGTCATACCGCCGTTATTCTCGCCCCGTCCCAGCCTCGCGTGCAAGCTTGATCAGGTCCTTGCTTGAGCCTGTTGCAATGCAGGCCGAACCTAAACGTATTTTCGAGGAACATGCATTATGCGTTAGCATCGACGACGATCATTCAAAGTGTGGTCGTATGTGGTCCTGGGACTATTGTGGACTTGCCTCGGAAAACAAAGCGAGTCGCTTTCACAAAGCGAGTCACTTTGACGCTGCTCTCCTCCCGATTTTTTATTTGTCGGGTTCGTCTTAGTTACATCGTGTATCTGCTCGCCAAGAAAGCTTCTGGAATATGCCTTTTTTGATTCCTTTGCTTCGTCACTTCATGAGGCGGTGAGAATTGACCAATGATCCGATAGACTTCTCGCTCTCTTCAATCGATTTGACCAGAGTGAGGCGACGGCACGAAGTGAAATGATGTGGATGACCGACAAGATCGATCGAGCGGGCCGGGTCATCATGCCAGCCAATGATGAGTCAGCGAACAGAGCGCGACCAAGCTTGTGTAACTGTAAGCGAAATAGTTTTAGGTCTATAGGTCACTTATAACCCAATATAATCATGCTCACATGATATGGGTATTGTCACACCGGATCCCGGACACATGTGGTTTCTTTCTGTCATTGGCGATCAAATACTCTCAACTGAATGAGTACTCGCAGAGAAAATGCCATCAAAGTGTGCTTCTGCCCACATTTTGCCTACATTTATCATTTTATGAGCTACAGTAATGGGAGTTTTTTTCCAGATTGTATATGTAACATACCTCGGGCGGTCACGTGACCGTTCCGTCACACTTCCATCGGTATCGAGCCGGCCGATAACGACACCACAATTAACATGCTCAACTCTAGTTTTTGATCATATTGATGGGAGTGAGCCCACCACATCTTAGGCACAAATATCGGCTACATTGGCTATTTTCAATGGGAGAAGCTTCAATTACCCATGCTTTGCCTCCCGCCCCGAACTAAAACTGTGCAAGGGGCGATAAGTGATGCTTCGGGATTGAGTGGCTAAGATGATTCAGGACGACAAGTCTAGGACAACTTTCGGTAGCATGTGAGCCAACGACTTGTGGACGAGGGTCGCTCGGAGGAGGTTTGCGATCGGACATGATAAAAAATCTTTCCGTTAATCAGCTTCGCCATTGTTGAGAAACTCCTTGAAACTTACGTTGCTAACCTTGCTAACCCACATATTCCATACATTTAGTAATTGTCTGCTTCAGATCATGGTCGTTCCAATCCGGGTGGCGGCGCCTCATAGCGACTGTGCAGCCAGGGGTGAGGTGATGTTCAAATCCGGCTTGATGGAGAACCATAGAGGAATGCCAGGTGCATATAGTTCTATTCTTTCCGTCTTCTGTAAATTGTTTAACAACACAGCGCAGTCCTCGACCGCCTCCGACGCCCGCCATAGTGGCCAGTTTATAGCGTTATCAATGATCAGCGCAGACTCGCGCTCTCCAGGCTAAGGAATTCATCAGTCCTTTGACACTTAGAGGACGACAAGTGACGAACGGTAATGAACATGAGGAGCTTGAAACGATTGTTCCATCGCGAGTCCATCGGATTACGAGGTACGGCGAGAATGGGGGTTAAGTCGGTGCCATTCTTTTGCAACGTTAGAGGCAATGGTTTTGCGACAGGTTCATAAGCATTGACAAGAATTGGTCCCGTTGTAAGTGTTGAAGATAAAGTAGACAGTTGTGGTTGGGAAGTTTGTGCGACCACGCAGGGTGCTGGAGCTTCGCTAGAATGAGGTACGGCGATTTGCAGCTCTCGAGGTATGGGTACCGAAGAATTGCCTCGACTTGTGTTAGTAGATGGCCGGTTTAAAGGCGATTCGGGCTGGATACCCAGTGACTCCGAAGCTATGGATGCCAATGAGCCTCGAGCGGCATTTACTTCGCTTGCATGTTTCCTGTGTCGATATAGCGAGCATCCTCCCCGTTGGGCACAGTGGTTGCGACACATTCTGTTATGACATCCAGGCGCAATTTTCTGGCGTATACAGTTGGCATGAGCGCAATGGAGGGCGACTTCCGGATCGGATATATCTAACAGAACATATCGAATTAGTTATAAGAGGATGGTTAACACGCACCAGGAGAGGCGCTCTCGGTACTGGCTAAAGGCAGCACAAAATCCTCCCTGCTATCACTCTTGTCGTCAACATCCGTTGCGTGATATGTCGTTGAGGCTATCTGGTCTTGTGGGGCAACAATCTGTTGCTTCCTGGTAGTTGGTTGGATTTGAGCGAATAGGAAGAAGCGCCACTCACGCCTTGGGATTCGTCCGATTCTTTGTCTTCGACGGTCTGACTCTCTCGCCTGACGTTAAGTCGAGACACCAGTAAGCACTACGATTTGACCCCATGTCATTTGTTGGGCACCAGTCAACATAGTCTTGGACCCGAAGAAAGATGGTGTAGAGTGAAAGAGTATTGTAGACATTGCTCTGACAATTTTTGAAAATATTGCGTCGCGAAGAAAGAATCCCTTACCATCCATGAGGTTGTTTCGTGAAGGCGACGAAATGCTCCGAAAGAGCATTCTTAATCTGTTGCGAGGAAAGTATCCCAGATGGACTAGCAGCAAGAGTTAAGGCAATCAGAATCCACATTGGTGTCTTGGGACGTCTTCCTGTGTCAACGATTAAATGAAGACCAATCGCCCAATCAGCTGGGATAGCGAGACGGTCTCGAAGATATTGGGGGCCATCCACAAAGGTGTTATGGTTGAGTTCCTTTTCCGTGCAAGCCAATTTATCGTTATTCTGGTGAGACGAAATTGACAGATCCACTCCCGGCGGTGGAATCACTCACCTCCCACGAATGCTCCGAATTCTCATCCTCGTTACCATACATTGATGCAGATGGGCCGCCTGCATCAACTAAATCGTCGAGAGTTGAATTGCCTGGCCGAGAGGCTTTGGATGGACACTGAGAAAACGGCCATCTTTTCTTAATGGTCAGTGAGTGAGCGTTGTAAACCAAGACATACATCGGCGGCAAACGGAAATGAGGAATACCAAGTTTGAAGGTATCTGGCTTGCCGTACGAGACATGTCGAATCCCAAAACAGTGCATTGAAAGTTGAAAGGAAGTTGCGATGTGACAGTCATGAATATCATCCCCGATTTGGATGGGGTACCAAGTTTCTCACTGTGTTCATTGCGACCTACTTTGGTCGGGGGCGATGGATCGGAAGAGCGTCAAGACAGACAACGAGTGACTCGTAATAACCACCTTCAAGTTGATCCAGAACATCGTCGCGCTGGGTAGCATGCTCCAAGACGCCAGTCCTTACTTTGGACATGTTAGCACGACTGCCGACGCATTTGTCCTCATCAGACTCGCTCAAGAAGGGAAAATCTCTCGTATAACTCGGCGTATCAACATACATCAGCTCAAGTTTGAACTCAAGAGTGGCGCAGTCTTTATTTTCAGTCCAGGAGAGAGTAAGATACAACGGTGGTATGGTGCGATCCTTCAGAGTCTTCCAGCCTGAAACTGAGTTTACTGACGGATTACACAGATGGATTGTCATGGTCGGGGCCGACGACCATAGGAAATTTTGTGGTGCGACCCAAATTTTCAGTCTTAGATATGACTACTCATTTATTGCCAGTTTCAACGAGAAGTGATAGGCCGCAAAGACCAGGCGCAGTATGATAATATAATATAACGATTACTGAACTTCAGTTTCGTCCCAGGGCCGCCTCTAGAGAGACGCAATTTCATTGTCTGTCGAAGGAGGGTTTCAACTTCAAGCCAAATGGTCTCATTAAGAAGGTATACCTTTGTTTGATATTCATGATTGAAGATAAAAAGCTCACAGATGATTACAATGACCGTTGAAGAAACTGAGTACCGGGTCATTTCGTACTATGCCGCTTCAGACTGCCTTAAGGGAGAATTAAACGTAAGTTTATTGCTCAACTCTGCGTCTCAGAACCAATTCTAGTTTTTCGGTTATTGAAGACATCATTTCCATCGACGTCTGTGCCCATGAATTTTCGCCTCATCCGCAATGATTTATTAAACGTGGAACTACGATTCGAACGGAACTCGCCATCTCTGAGGTTGGTTATCTATCCAATTCCCCCCAACACTAGTTAAACCCTCCGATGCAGCCCATATGGCAATACCTCGCTGTTTGAGATAGAATCAACAATTGACCCTTGGGGTCTGAGCGACAAAACAGTCAACACGAAATGTTTCGACGACTCTCGCCACTCAGATCAGCCCGACCCGCCATCTCACGCAAACTCAATGGGATTCCAGCATAAAGGCGATAAGAGACAGAGGGCCATTCTCCCACGCCCTGCTCACCATACGATGACATCCGAAGCTCCTGTTGTCAACAACGCTGGAGGCCTCGTTGGTCCTCAAATGAACATGATAAATACTCCTGCTACCACAAACGAGCTTGCACCTCTGCCTCAGATCTCTCCCCGTGTATCACGCGGCACTCAGGCAACAAGCCCTCAGCAAACTAGTGCGAGCTTGACTAGTAATACTCCCCTGAATTTGGCGTCGGGAGTTACAGCGACTGGAACTAGTCAGATGGTGGAGACTGACCCTGCTGCTCTTCGAGCCGCCACCTCTTCGACCAGTGCCTCTACAGTCAATGGACCAGTCTCTTCGTCAACGACTACGGCATTATCGAAAAAGGACGGGGACGGAGAGCAGACGGAAGACAACGTACTATTCGAGGAATGGGGCCTTACACCCGCCCCGTCGGGGTACGGAATCTGCGGGAGACGCACGCGAACGTCTCAATGATAAACAGTCCGCATTTGAGCTTCACGTGTCTCATGTCGACGAGGCACATCGGCCCGACAGTCGAATGTCGCGCGAAAGATATGAAGAAACACGTTTTCTGACTGTGCAGACGTCGTTCACTCAAGTGCAAGGCCAAGGCCACGACGCTCTCATTCAGCGCATTAACGAACTCCAGGCGCAGGTTAACCTTCTTCGCACCACGAGAGGTCAAGTGCAAGGCATGACCACTACAGGCCATGCAGCGTCAACCCGGG